GAGCATTAATTCAACGTCGGGTGCTAAGCCCCTTAACCCCTCCCCTCTCCCTCCGTCCAACATGTCTACTCGTTCGGGTGCAATCACTGATGCGATGTGAGTATCGCAACGCTGTCCTGTCACAGGACTTCCGTTCTTATGACGCTTCAGGTTTTCTGCTCACTGTCGAGGGGTTCTCTCCTTGAGCCCGGACCCCTTGCAATGCTTCTCTGTGATCGATGCCCAGTTGCATGGGGTGATGCGTCGGACCCCGTCCGGGGAATGGAAGTGTAAGCGGCACCACATTCAGTGTGGTGAAGTCGTGCTGATCAATACACAGTTGAGCTTCTCGTGAAAGACGTGCCCGGGGGAAAGCGTCACGCAGTGGCATTACACTGTCTTGATGTCAAACGAGACTCGGTAATTTCTAATACCCAGCCTATTGCGCTATACTTACCTGGGGATAACCACAGGTTTCCTCGATCATGAACGCGAAGTGCGAGGACTGCAAGCAATCCCTGTGCATCTTGTTTGATGGAAACGACGCCATGGAAGACTTCTTCATGAAGTACATGCTGGAGAAGCTGCGTTGGCAGGCCCGGCTCGACCGGCATGTCGTCGAAGACATCATATACTCGCTCCTCAAATCATTTTGCGACGTCATAAAGGAGTGCCCCATCAATGCCACAGGAGAACTAGCAGAGGCTCACGAGAACGGCGGCTACGCATACGCCGTTGCGTCGCTCATGACGAAGCTCGGGAGCGAAGCCCAGGGTGTTACCGCGGATGTCGTCGAACAGTTGAAGAGGTCTCTGTCTCTTGACGAGTAGTCGGATGTGCTCGTGGTTGTAGAGCTCCTGTACTATATAATCATGGGCACCTTCGCTGTTCAACGTGCATATCAATAGCACGGCTTCTCCTCTGCCAGAGTATCTTTGCACATGTTCGAGCGACATAGTCACCTTAAACATGGTCAATCCCTCTACGTCTGGCGCGAGCCTTGAACTTGCTTGAATATGAAGCTGTGCCAAGCGCTGAGAGAGTGAGGGCGTGGGCGCCTCTTGGCGGATAGAAGGCCCGGCCGGGGCATCGGCCCGTGGCATCGTAGGCGGGCGTCCATCCGCAGTTCCGAGTCACTGAGTCCCCCACGACAATGCCCATCTTCACCTATACTCGCTGCACTCGTCGGCAACTCCTCTCATGGCTATCTATTCCGAGGATACTGGAAAACGCGTAGTGGCCGAACTACGGCTGGGTGTGACTGCGGAGTAGTCGGACGAGACCAGGTCAGACCGGCACCCTACACCTTCCATCCAGCCCGCCGTGGCCAAGCTGATCGTGGCCAAGCTGATGCACGGAGTCCCTGTTCATGTGCTGGCTGTACGTGTTCGCGGACGTGCCGTATGTTCTGATCAGTGTTCCTATGTTATTGTCCGCCCCATCGCTGACATCGCTACTCCGCGGCCGTCCGTCTGTCCGCATTGTCGGTACGACATCAATCAGTGCGCATTCGGCTCTCCCTTTACATTGAGGTGACCATAACTGGCAAGGAGGGGCTCGCGTAGCTCTCCGGGGCCATGCTATGTGAGTAAGCCATGTCACACTCCCTGCGATGACGCTCAAATGATCGGCCGCGCAGTTCCGCATCAAGCTAGGTGTCGGCACGAACCAAGCACTGTCCAGATGAGTGTCACAATAGGACCCTGGCGAGTACAATGGGTAGGGGCGATCTGGGGCGGCGCGGTCGGGCGAGCACGCAGGCGGCGCCTCCCCAGCGCCTCCCCGCCACACTTGATTCTACCCAAGACCGTGAACCATCGCTCTCAAATGTCCACCGCGATGGCGTCCGAACCACGATGTTGTGAGTTGAATTTTCTTCCTCTGTCACCCCTGCGCATGTTGACACCCATTTGCAGACTGGCTCCTCCTTACGGACGCGCTGGGGATAGTCTATGTCAGTCCGGACTTGTCGATGTTTTTGGGGGACAAGTCGCCCTTGATCCTTGGACGCCAATTTCCTTCTATGCTGCACCCCGAAGACAGCTCTTGTGTGGCCAAGGAAATGTTATCGGTGGGATCAACGATCTATGGAGGAATGGCTCGGTACGTTCCCCTTCGCCGACCTGCCGCGCAGTGAGATGAGGCTGAGCAAGGACTAGATTTCGGTGTATCAGACCGGAACACCTTCGTTGTGCTCTCGGCGAGCTAGACACCTGCTGGACGTCGCCGCAAGCGACCTATACCGCCGTTAATATCGCTGTCAACAGAGCTGCGGACGGTCTTCTACTGTGCTTCATTCATGCCTCCGCCGAAACGTCGGCACACCAATTCGAGGATTGCTCTACAGCGGGCTTTGATCGAGGCGAAGCCGGCGTTCTTGAACGCCAACTACGGGCCTTCCTACCGATATCGGGAACCGCTGCACATGCGTTTCAGCTTTTCTCCTTCGACGCCAGCAAGCCTACTCTGCTTTCTACTTGGCCGCCCCGAGCGCTGTGGTCGACGAGGTGCACTGAGCTGGTTGAACATGTACAAGCTATATCGGTGTACGACTTCGAACGCTCGGACGCGTTGACGACATGCACTAGGCGGAAGATGACGGGGAGTGTACAGGAAGACGCGTGCGCGCATGACGGCGTCAGAACCACGGTTTCGATACCCCATGGTATGCTCACTGCCTTCGCCGTTGCGTCCGTTGGCATGCGCGGCCGCTTCAGCTCCCACTGCCAGTTCGCTGATTGCATCCTTCGTAGGGTCAATCATGTTCGTATGCACCCGTATTGCGCCTCAAATCGATCTGCGGCCTGCATCGCGGACGACGGTCGCTGATAGCTCCGGTAGCTCCCCAGCTACTCCCACAATTACCTCGTCACCTTACATCTGTCTAGATCAGCTGAACGGAGAATCTCTGCTCCTGGAGCAATCCCCCGTTGCCAGTACTCCGACGCTCTCGTGGACGCCGGATGGGGAATATCGATGTCGGCATTGCAAGGGAAGGACTACGTTGATATCGGGACATGGACCCGGAGGCGAGAAGATCTGTGATTCGTGAGTACGTCAATTTCCTGCGAAGATCAGCGAGCTCATCGTCGATCGGCGCAGGTGTGGCCTGAAGGCGGTGAGGCAAGGTCCAGAGTTCATTGTAACAAAGGCTCGCAGCGATTTCTTTACGAACGTCAATCCCGCCGACAAAGCGCCGCCTGTTGGAGTATCTCGTTGCGCGGACTGTAAG